ATTCTCCAGGCCGGAAAACTGGAGTGGGTAGCCTTTCCCTTCTCCAGGGGATCTTCCCAACCCAGGGATCAAACCCAGGTCTCCTGCATTGCGGGCAGGTTCGTTATGAGCTGAGCCACCAGGGGAGTTGGGCTCCTCTTTACCCCCTACTCTTCTTGTCCCCAAGGGAAATCCCCAAATTTTCCTTTTAAGTTTTGGAACTGGGATCCTTGCACGGATGTCGCAGGTTTTGGAGGGCACTCATGCACAGACAGCTATAAAATGATCTCGTTATTGCTTTGTGACAGAATCTAAATTAAGCTGGGACATGTCTGGACAATTTTGTAGCTGACATGTCAACTCAAATAGAATTTCCCCACCCACCTCAACACACTCGACATTCTGTCCTTGTATCATCCTCATGCTCTTTTCATACTGGTAGTTCGGCAGTCTTTTATGATTATTTTATGTGTTCTTCTTATAGCTATTAAAGCCACGTGTTTAATAACACCTTCTAACATACTGGATAATGTATTTATATTTTTGGAACATGGTCTGTCTCCCATTACTAGCTGAGACGGGGGTTTGATCCCTGGGTCAGGAAGATGCCCTGGAGAAGAGCATGGCAGCCCACGCCAGCGTGCTTGCCTGGAGCATCCCGTGGACAGAGGAGCCTGGCGGGCTACAGTCCGCGGGGTCACGAAGAGTTGGACGCCACGGAGCGACTAACACTTTCACTTTTTCACTTCAAGCTGCATAAGGACGAGGAATTTTGTTAATTTTTTCAGGGCTGTAGCCCCCCTGCCCGCCACCTGCCTGTCTTGATCAGTTCTAGAGGCTTCACTGGCGACTCCAGCCAGACACAGCCTCTCCCTCGCCAGGTCCCCTCACGGGGTCTCAGGGCTGAGCCGCGGGGCCCTGGTTGTGGCGATCTCCGTGTGCCGACAGAGGCTCCCCGACGGAGAGCGCCTGCTCCGATTCACCTTTCTTGTTGCGATGGCATCTAGTGTGGGACAGATCGCCAACAAAGGCACACACAGACCCCTCATTTATGTCTGCTAGAACGGAAGCCTGGGGGTGGCGAAGGCCATCTACTTGAGGGCCTGATGGGTAGGCACCCAGCCTGCGGGCGCCCTGGGGAAGGCTGTGAGCGAAAGGTTCCGCGTCGGACCAGTGCCAGCAGCGGCTGGCACGCAGGAATGCAGGCCAGCTCACCAGGGCTGCTTTTACCAGCAAGAGCAAAATAAAAACTCTATGATTATTATTGTTTTAACTTTTTAGTTTATATAGAACACATAAGGCTAACAATATTGTGATCGTTTTAGGCGTACAGCAAAGTGATTCAGTTTTTTATATATATATATATATATATATATACATATATATATATATATATATATACACTCATCTCTTCCTTTTCAAATTCTTCTCCGGGTCAGGTTGTTACATAGTTTCGAGAGGAGTTCTTGGCACTGCAGCAGTGATTGGGCGGCCTCCGCCTGCAGCGGCTTGGAGCCAGGTTTGGGTTCCCAGCCACAGATGGAGGCTGGTGGAGGTGGTGAAGGCACCAGTTCCTAGACCAGTGGCCAGTGACGAGGGCCCTGGTCCTTCGGCTTTGCAGAGAAGAATCTCCACAAAGACGGAAAGCAGCGAAGCAAGTCAAGTATTTATTAGGAGGGAAGAGAGTACAGCCCGTGTGGACAGACACAGGGGATAGCCCCCGAGTCTCGCTCTCGTGGCGGTTTGAATCCCTTTCACGGGGCACTTCTCCGGGTTTGCTTCGGCCAGTCACCTTGGCTTGCCTGGATCACAGCTCGTGTTTGGTATATCTGGGGATCCTCTCACCGGTGCGCACGCATCTCTTAGCCAAGATGGATTTTACTGAACAGCATGTGGGTAGAGAACATCCCTTGACTGACTCCCCTTGGCCTCCGAGGAGCTTCTCTGCGCATGTGTGGTGGGCCAGGTCTCCTGACCTGGAGGAGAAGTCGGTGGTCTCAGCAGGCCCCCTCCCTTCAAGTCCTGCTATTCTTATCTCAGCGGTTCAGACCACAGGGTGGGAAGCTCCAACTGCTTTACCCTGGGGGCCCATCTCCTCCTGCCTCAGCAGGCCTTGCTGGTTATCCATTTTAAATCTAGCCCCGTGTCCCTGTCCATCTCAAACTCTGTAACTATCTCTTCCTCTCATCCTTCCCCCACTAACCATAATTTTCTCTAAGTCTGTGAGTCTGTTTCTGTAAAAACTCGAATATTGTTGAGTGAAATCTCCTGTTTCAAATATTGGTTCAATTAAAAAAAATACTGTATGGGTCAAAAAAGGACCCCAAACAAAGCATATCTTGCATGCGGTCACTGGGCGGCCAGTTTTCTGTCTAATATAATGGAATGTGTTCCTTCATCCACTGGGGACAGTATTTTCAAGAGCTTATTGGGATTTTCCTCCTGATCAGGAGTCTCTGATTGTCCCCATTTAGACCCTAGGTTTCCTTCTTCTGTGGGTCCAGCTAGATAGGGGCAGTCTCAAGCTGGAGGGAAAAAAACAAAACAGAAGCACAGGTAGGAAATACTCAATATCAAGGAGGATAACGGGGAGCCGAGGGGGAAAGGGGTGGTGAGACATGGAAGGGGAAGAAAGACCTCGAACCAGAGGGGGCCAGTTCAGCACCAAGGCTGGGGGCCTGCCCACCGCCCATCCAGGTTAAATGACGCTCTCCCAAGGCTTGAGACCCTGTCCAGCCCCGGTCTGCCCTGGGCTCTCTGAACGGCCCCAGGTGATGCCTGATGACCGAACAGGAAAGGACTGCAGGCTGCTGGCCCAACAACGCTCCCTTCTTCCTCTTCGTAGTGTTCAGAAGCCTGGGCTAGTTTTGTTTTCAGGAAGCCACATTTCCAGCCTCGAGGAATTAGTCATCATTGTTTAAGGTAATCATTAATCCTGTTGCTTGTGGCCAGTGATTGAAGTGGGTGTAGTGAAAATCGCTCAGTCACGTCTGACTCCTTGCGACCCCATGGACTGAAGCATGCCAGGCTTCCCTGTCCTTCATTATCTCCTGGAGTTTGCTCAAACTCATGTCCACTGAGTCAGTGGGGCCATCCAACCATCTCATCCTCTGTCCTCCCCTTCTCCTTCCGCCTTCAATCTGTCCCACCATCACAGTCTTCTCCAACGAGTCAGTTCTTCGCATCAGGTGGCCAAAGTATTGGAGCTTCAGCATCAATCCTTCCAATGAATATTCAGAGTTGATTTCTTTTACGATTGACTGGTTTGGTCTCCTTGCTGTCCAACGGAACTCTCAAGAGTCTTCTCTAACATCACAGTTCAAAAGCATCAATTCCTTGGCGCTCAGTCTTCTTTATGGTCCAACTCTCATATCCATATATGACCACTGGAAAAACCATAGCTTTGACTATATGGACCTTTGTTGGCAAAGTGATGTCTCTGCTTTTTAATATGCTGTCTAGGTTTGTCATAGCTTTTCTTCCAAGGAGCAGGTGTCTTTTAATTTCCTGGCTGCAGTCACTGTCCGCAATGATCTTGGAGCCCAAGGAGATAAAGTCAGTTTCCATCTTTCCCTCATTCTCAATGGCACCTCCAGAGACCCCCTTCTGATCATTTGCTTCTGTTCTCTGTCTCAGCCCCTCACTCGGCACCGTTTGTAACGACTTTGCTTTCTTTTTTGATGCGAACCATTTTTAAAGTCTTTATTGAATTTGCTACAATATTGCTTATGTTTTATGTTTTGGTATGAGGCATGTGGGATTTTAGCTGCCCCACAGGGATCAAACCCCGAACCTCTCCCATTGGAAGGCCAAGTCTTAGCCACTGGGCCACCAGAGAAGTCCTGATATTACCCTTGTATGTTTTATCTCCCCCTCCACTGTCTGTTTCTGCAACACCTTTAAATGTTGCTAGTTAAGGAACTTTTAAATGAATGCCTGTCACTGATGGAGAGTCCAATACAGGCCAGATCCTGTGAAGAGATTTAACCCTGAAAAAACAAAAACTTCATTCAGCAAATATATACTGAGCGCACATGAGCTGTGTATGGGGAAGACCCAGTGCAAAAGGCTTGGATCTGGGGCTGGACCGCGGCGGAGGGGCAGCGCCACGCGGGGCCGGGTGCCGTGGTGGGGAAGCAGGCGGTGCCACGGGGCATCCTTGTCCCCTTCTCCCCCGGAGGAGGGCATGGCAGCCCGCCCCGGCGTCCTTGCCTGGAGAATCCCGCGGACAGGGGCGCCTGGTGGCCACAGTCCACGGTGTCCTGAAGAGTCGGACACGACTGAAGCAACTTAGCCCAAATCCCCATTTCCCAAAGAGGAAACTGGGGCTTCGAGAAATGACACTTGTCCAGAGCAATTGTCAAACTTGTCCTTGAGATTTTTTCAGGGGATCTCCGGAGGGCCTCCTTTTTTTTTTTAACTTCATACCTATGTGAGATCAGGTTTTCTTCATCTGTGTCAATTAAACAACATATTGCCAGGAAGCGAATAAAGAGGCAGGTGTGAGAACCGTTGCCAGCCGTTAAAGAGATTTGCAAGAATGTATAATTATGCCATTATTCTCAGCATTTCTTTTTTTTTTTTTTTTGGTCTTGGAAAATACAGTTATTTTAAAGTGTTGCTTATAATACATAGGGAAGGAATGTTTTACTATTTTAAATTAATAAGTACATTCAAAAATTGTTTTCATTTCTGATGTGGTAAACATCGATGAATATAGAACAGAAGTTCTCTGGGGTCCTCAGTGACTTTTAAGAGAGTAAAGACAAAAAAAGGACAATGAAGAATCGGGAGGCACGCGTGTGCGCGTACACAGTCAGCGCAGAATGGATGAAGCCCGGCAGGGCAGGCCCCTCCCCGCGTCGCCGCGCGCTCTGCAGGGGGGCGGCTGCCCGGGACCCGCGCTCGGCGCCCCCTGCTGCCCGCCGCCCGCGCCGCAGCCGCGCCGCCCGCGGTTTCTGTCGGCCCACAGGCGTGCCTGCCCCTTTAATTGGCGCGTACCAAGTCCTTCCCGGTTGCAGGTCACCCCGAGCCCGGGCGCGAGAAGCCGCCGGCCGGAGGCCCGGTCGGGGGGATGTGGAGCCGGCGCTGCGTCCGCCGCGGGTCCGGGCCGAGGGCGAGCGAGTCCGGGCCGAGGGCGAGCGAGGGCGGGCGCGGGGCCGCTTGGCCGCCCTCCCCGCCTCGCGCCGTAGCGCAGTCCCAAGATGGCGGCCACCATGAAGAAGGCGGTGAGGGGGCTCGGCGGGCGGGCGGCCGGGGGGCCGGGGGGCGGCGGGACTGGGAACTGGGCGGGCGGGAGGCCGGGGGTCGGGGGACAGGGGGGCGGCGGGCCGGGGGAACGCGGGGCGGCGGGCCGGGGCGGGCGGCCGGGATCGGGGCTCGGCGGCCGGGGCGGCTCCCGGCGCCGCGGGGTCCCCAGGCCCGCCCGGCCGCCCTGGAGGAGCAGGGTCCGCCCGGCGGCGCCGAGGGCCCTGGAGAGGCCGGGGCCCGCCTCGGGCTGTGGCCGGAGGGGCCGACTGCGGCCGGCATGCGGCCAACCCTCGCAGTTTCTCGGGGGCCGCCGGCACCCGCCGTCGCCCGGGAGCCGAGGCCCAGGGCCGGAGCCCGCAGCCCGCGCCTCGCGCCCGTCCCCGCCCGCGCCCTGCAGGCCGGGCCGCCCGCACCGAGGGCTCGCGGTGCCCGGAGCCGCCTGCTTGTTCTCTCTGCTCCCTCCAGTCTAGCTGGGGACGGACGGAGAAGCAGAGCTGTGAGCGGCTTCCCGGTGACTCAGCTAATAAGCAGAACCCGAGTGCACACCCAGGTTTAATTTTGTCTTTCCCCAAAGTCCACATTTTATCCTACTGAGCAAGCAAAGCGCCTCTTCAGGGCTTATCGCTTGGTGAGGCTACCGATGCTTGATACCTGCATAGAAAGAAATTAACGCGGAGAGGGGCAAGGCGATGAGAGCGTCTGATGCTTTTGAGGCTGTACTATGCGCCGATCCAAGCACATTCCGTACCAAGCACATTCCGTACGGTATTTTAATCCTCGACTCCTTTTAGGGTCATGCTGCGTTTATTTTTATTTTACAAATGAAGAACCTGAACCACAGAGGCAAAGTTAGGGTTGAAATTATTAAAGATGGAAGCTCTGCCTCCAGAGTCTGTGTTTAACTTCCATGGTGTCTGATGAGAGTCCGCTGGCTGAAGGCATTGGCTCCGTAGGTTTTGTCTTTTTCCTTCAGTCCCCTTCCGAGGCCGCGTGGTAATTGTGCTTCCATTGTGTTCGGCTCCACACCACCTCACAGCCTTTAGCCACCTGCGCTTGCTGTGGGGTGACCATTCAGGTTTGCCCGAGCCAGAGGGGTGGCTGAAACTGGGACACCTCCAGGCAAACCAAATCGAGTCACTCCTTCTACTGGTCTGTCATCCACAAATTCTTGTGGGGTTCCAGAGTAGAGTTTAGGGCCTTGGTGATTGAGAAATGAGCGAGATTCATTTGGCCTCTGTTTTCTGTTTATCTTGAGCCCGCTGTCACGTATGACTTTTAACTCCATGGAAGGTAGTAGTTGTGGTTCACCCTCTTTTGACAGATGTAGAAACTGAAGTACAAAAAAAAATAAGTAAACACTGAGGAAATGGTCAAAGAATGATTTGAACCTTGGGCTTCATGGCAGAAGTTCTGAGGAACAGCATTTTCCTTTCATTCATGTGACAGACTCTCTGAGCCTGGTCAGTGGCACGTTTTCTGTTTGAGGTGACGGAGATGAGACTGATGAGCAGTAATGAAGTTTCTTTATTCCGTTGACTGTGCGGGGTCTTCCTCACTGAGTGGACTTTTCTCTGGCTGCAGAGAGTAGCGGGGCTGCTGTCTCTGGCAGCGCCTGGTTTCTCATCGCTGCGGCGTTTTTCGCGCTGTGGGACACCCGCTCTAGCATATTGGGGCTTCTGTAGCTGCGACACGCGGTCTCTGTAGCTGTGGCTCCTGGGCTCCAGGGCACAGGCTCAGTAGTTGTGGCCAACGGGCTGAGTCGCTTCGAGGCACGTGGGATCTTCCTGGACCAGGGGTCGAGCCTGTGTCTCCTGCATTGGCAGGTGGATTCTTTACCAGTGAGCCGCCTGGGAAGGCCTAGTAATGAACTTTTTATCTCCTTTTCCTCTTAGCTTTGTAGAACTGACACCCTTGGGGAAAGGCAGGTGTTAATCAGCTGTCACAGAGAAAGGTGTTGAATTTGCAACTCTGAGAAGAACTATGAAAGAAAGGGGCTTGTGAAATGAGGGCTGGAATAGGTCTTTCCTGAGGTCAGAGAGCTTTCCTGAGAAGATGTGGTCTACCGGATTCCACGAGGAGGGCAAGAGAAGGTTGGGAGTGCCCCCTGCAGAGGCCTGGGTGCGTTCAGTGAAAAGATGGCCAGGAGGAAGGGATTGGGGCTGAACCGTGGTGGCAGAGGACTTTTGCGGGGGAAGGTGACGGCCCAAACACAAGGCTCTCTTCTTTATCTTAGGAAGGCTCTCACAGGCGCAGCATCTTCCTGTAGGTGTTTCTGGCACTGTGGACAGTTTCTAATAGGTTAGCGACATGCGTGTCTTCCTCTCTGCTGACTCCCAGAGAAGACAGATGCGTGCCAAAAGGGTGAGAACAAAATATCAGAGGACAGCTCTCGGAGTTTAAGAAGAGCTCTTTGCAATCTGGAGTGCTTTACACTGAGCATTTGTAACATCCACTGGGTCATGACTTTTTATGGTGAGAAGTTAAGATGAGATGATGATTCAGTCTTAACATCTCCAAAGTTCTCCTTTCTCAGACCTGGTTCTTGGCCTGGGTGGGGACTACGGTTTGATTTTTGTTTATACATCCTGAGGGCAAATGTCTCTTCCTCAGAGAAGCCACCTTTGACATTTCAAAGAAGCCCTCCAGCACTTCCACCTCTTATTAAACTATTTTGCTTTCACTGTCACATGTATCACTAACCAGCAAAAACTCTTACTTTTTACCTAGCTCTTCTACTAGAATGTAAGCATGCCATTGCTCATGAGGGGGAACTCACATTGCTCTGTTGCTGAGTCATGTCTGTCTCTTGGAGACCCCATGGGCTGTAGCCCGCCAGGCTCCTCTGTCCGTGGGATTTCCCAGGCAAGAAGACCGGAGTGGTCTGCCATTCCCTACTCCAGGGGATCTTCCTGACCCAGGAATGGAACCCAGATCTCCTGCATTGGCAGGGGGATTCTTTGCCACTGAGGCTCCAGGGAAGCCCTCCTTGTGCTTAGGAAATGCTAAATTAATGAATGACTGTTCATATGAAAGATGAAAAAAAAATTTGTATTGTAAAAAGTGGGTAGACAACCTTTAATAAACAAAAATGAAAACAGATTAAAATTAGCCAGAATTTTGCTATAGGATGTTTAGAATCCTAGGGGCCCAGCTGTGGGTCCAGCCTGCTCGTGATGTGGTCCCAGACTCAGTGTGAGCATGACTGAGGGTGAGTCCCTTCCTCCCAGGGTCCCAGGAGAGGCTGATGCTCCTGGGCAGGGTGCAGTTGTAGTGCGGGGGATTTTAATTGTCACCTGAAATCTTGAGCAGTCACATTTCTCTTAGGCCTAGCAGAATTTTCTTCTAGACCTGGGTCTGTTCTTTGTAATGACTTTTGGCAAACTTTATTTAGAAAATAAAGCACTTAGCTGTCGTTTACTGAAAGGTGACTCCATCCCCAGGCCTGTTGCTGGGTGCTCATTTTTATCTCTTCTGGAAGGTGGGAATAGCTTCCCTGCCTTACAGATGACAAAGCCGAGGTGTCTCCAGAGAACTGGATGAGTTGCCCGTGGTTCCTGTTTGCTTGGATTTGAATCCACTCTTGCTGTTTCCTCCACTCTCTGACACCTCCAGTACTACGAAAGTCTCCTTCCTCCTCGAGTTGTTTTGGCTTTGTGAATGGAAGTAACTGCATCTGTCTTTTCTCCTGACCTTTTGGGACATGGGTCCCTTTAAGAACGGGTGAAAGCCACGAAGAGCCTTCCAGAAGGATGCACACCTAACACAGCACGTTGCGCAGGGTGTCGGGGAGTAGATGGACCTCTCTCAGTTTAGAATTGCGCCCTCCCCGCCAAAACGGAGCCCCCAGCAGCAGAGGAGCGCTCTAGGTCAGCGAGGTGGAACGGAAGCTGCGGTCAGGGCGGCGCTGACTTGCCTCTTTCCACCGCGGGTCAGGCAGTGGGCGTTGGCCTCACACCCCGGCTTCAGCCCTTAGCCCCCGGGAGAGAACCGCGGTTACAGAACGAACCACAGGGCCCCGTGTGCTGGGGGCTGCTGCTCGGCGAGGCTACAGCAGGAACCACCTGCTGTGGAAAGACAGAAGGCAGGTGGCCAGACTGCAGCTTTTCAGAGAGCCCTCGTCAGTGAGCCTGACTGAACATGCTTCAGCTGCAGGCTCAGAAACAGGGCACGAAGCCCCAGCTGTGCTCCCTGTGAGCCCTGGGCTGGGCTTCCCGGGGATTAGCCAGGAAAGCCTTCCCATGTCAGGTGATCTGTGAATGCATGTGCAGGCTTCTAAAGACTCAATATTTAAATTCAGCAGGAGTGGGAGTCTAGAATTCTCTGTTCCCTGTTGGCTTAGAGAGTTGAAACTTCTTTTTTTTTAATTTAAATTTATTTTTAATTGGAAGATAATTGCTATACAATATTGTGATGGTTTCTGCCATACATCAGCATAAATCAGCTACAGGTATACACATGTCCCCTCCTGCTTGGAACCTCCCTCCCTGCTCCCATCCCATCCCGTCCCGTCCCTCTAGGTTGTCACAGAGCCCCGGGTGTGAGCTCCCTGCGTCATACAGAAATTCCCTCTGGTTATCTAACAGTATATACGGCAGGGAGCTGAGACTTCTGTGCGGGGAGATGACGTGAATGCCGGCGCATCTGTGTGTGGCCTTCACTTTAGCGTCTGTATTGTATAGCGCAGTGTGTCCCAACTTCGTATTCATAAAAGTTATGCACCAGGTTGAACATTCAAAGCTATATGTATATTCCATTGTAAACGACTTTTTTCCCAAGATAGCTACTGGGTCTCTGATGAGGCTGATGCATCTTTATTGGGTGATGGGAGCCTGGGTCAGGGGAGGGCTGAATTCTAGGTGTCTGCATGTATGTTCTGACCACTAAGCTCCCTACTCCTTGAGACAACAGGTTGCCTGTCAAATGAAAGCAATAAAAGTCACTGGTCATGAGAGCAGGTGAAAAGATAGGGTGTGGGGTGGTTATTGTGAACCATTACTGTTATTGGTAATGGAGCCTACAGTAGTCCTTGTTGAAGCTGTCTGTCTCTTTCCTCCTTTAAATTGTAACCATGTGCCCTTGTTCCTGTCTTTTAAGTGAGGGGAAACTCTAAGGAAGTCTGTTATTTAAAAGATTTTTTAAAAAATATGTGGTCCCTCATTAATCACTTGACTATCCTCCAATAATAAAAGAAAATTAAAACAATTTTTTATTTAATAAAATTAAAATTTAAAACAGAAAAGTGAAAAGGGGAAGGAAACAAACAAAAACAACGACAGTCCCCCTTTGAAAGTCTGAAGCCAAGGACTCCCGCTCCTTCTAGATGCGTGTGGCTGCATGTGTAAGACACACACTCCCGGACACACACACTTTGCCTTTAATTTCCACGTGCTCGTGGACCTCTCTGGCTCTGGAGCCAGACCCCAAGCTCTGCCCCTGGCTGTCTGTGTGGCTTTGGGCAAATTCCTCACCCTCTCTCTGCCACACTTTCTGTAGAACAGTGGTGCTGATGATCCTGCTTACTAAGGCTGATTGGGGAATTAGCTGCTGCTGCTAAGTCGCCACAGTCGTGTCCGACCCTGCGCGACCCCGAAGACGGCAGCCCACCAGGCTCCCCCTTCCTGGGATTCTCCAGGCAAGAACACTGGAGTGCGTTGCCATTTCCTTCTCTAATGCAGGAAAGTGAAAGTGAAGTCACTCCGTCGTGTCCGACTCTTAGCGACCACATGGACTGCAGCCCACCAGGCTCCTCCATCCATGGGATTTTCCAGGCAAGAGTACTAGGTGCCTTCTCCATGGGGGATCAGCAGCAGTAATAAAGTACTTAGAAAGCCCTGGGCACGCAGGAAGTGCTCAGTGAATGTTGCTGTTTGGTCGCTCAGTCGTGTCTGACTCTCTGCCACCCGATGGACTCACCACTCTCCTCTGTCCGTGGGGTTTCCCGGGCAAGAATAATGGAGTGGGTTGCCATTTCCTTTTCCAGGAAACGTTAGCTATTACTGATATGAGTCCATACTTTGTCATGTAAGCTGTCTAATTTTATTTACTGACTTAACCACATTAATCACATCAGTTCAGTTCAGTCGCTCAGTCGCGACTCTTTCACCCCATGGACTGTAGCTTGCCAGGCCTCCCTGTCCATCACCAACTCCTGGAGTTTACCCATACTCATGTCCATTGAGTCGGTGATGCCATCCAACCATCTCATCCTCTGTTGTCCCCTTCTCCCACCTTCAATCTTTCCCAGCATCAGGGTCTTTTCAAATGAGTCAGCTCTTTGCGTCAGGTGGCCAAAGTATTGGAGTTCCAGCTTCAACATCAGTCCTTCCAGTGAATATTCAGGACTGACCTCCTTTAGGATGGACTGGTTGGGTCTCCTTGCAGTCCAAGGGACTCTCAAGAGTCTTCTCCAACACCACAGTTCAAAAGCATCAATTCTTCAATGCTCAGTTTTCTTTATAGTCCAACTCACATCCACATGTGACCACTGGAAAAACCATAGCCTTGACTAGATGGACCTTGTTGGCAAATCAATATCTCTGCTTTTTAATATGCTGTCTGGGTTGGTCATAACTTTTCTTCCAAGGAGAAAGTGTCTTAGTTTCATGGCTGCAGTCATCTACAGTGATTTTGGAGCCCCCCAAAATGAAGTCTGTCACTGTTTCCACTGTTTCCCCATCTATTTGCCATGAAGTGATGGGACCGGATGCCATGATCTTTGTTTTCTGAATGTTGAGCTTTAAGCCAACTTTTTCACTCTCCTCTTTTACTTTCATCAAGAGGCTCTTTAGTTCTTCACTTTCTGCCATAAGGGTGGTGTTATCTGCATATCTGAGGTGATTGATATTTCTCCTGGCAATCGTGATTCCAGCTTGTGCTTCATCCATCCCAGTGTGTCTCATGATGTACTCTGCATATAAGTTAAATAAGCAGGGTGACAATATACAGCCTTGACGTACTCCTTTCCCGATTTGGAACCAGTCTGTTGTTCCATGTCCAGTTCTAACTGTTGCTTCCTGACCTGCATACAGATTTCCCAAGAGGCAGGTCAGGTGGTCTGGTATTCCCATCTCTTGAAGAATTTTCCACAGTTTATTGTGATCCACACAGTCAAATGCTTTGGCATAGTCAATAATGCAGAAGTAGATGTTTTTCTGGAATTCTCTCACTTTTTCGATGATCCAGTGGATGTTAGCAGATTGATCTGGTTCCTCTGCCTTTTCTAAATCCAGCTTGAACATCTGTAGTTTACGGTTCACGTATTGCTGAAGCCTGGCTTGGAGAATTTTGAGCATTATTTTACTAGCATGTGAGATGAGTGCAATTGTGTGGTACTTTGAGCATTCTTTGGCATTGCCTTTCTTTGGGATTGGAATGAAAACTGACCTTTTCCAGTCCTGTGGCCACTGCTGAGTTTTCCAAATTTGCTGTCATGTTGAGTGCAGCACTTTCACAGCATCATCTTTTAGGATTTGAAATAGCTCAGCTGGAATTACATCATCTCCACTAGCTTTGTTCTTAGTGATGCTTCCTAAGGCCCACTTGACTTCACATTCCAGGATGTCTGGCTCTAGGGGAGTGATCACACCATCGTGATTACTTGGGTCATGAAGATCTTTTTTGTGCAGTTCTGTGTATTCTTGCCACCTCTTCTTAATATCTTCTGCTTCTGTTAGATCCCTACCATTTCTGTCCGTTATCGAACCCACCTTTGCATGAAATGTTCCCTTAGTATCTCTGGTTTTCTTGAAGAGATCTCTAGTCTTTCCCATTCTGTTGTTTTCCTCTGTTTCTTTGCATTGATCACTGAGGAAGGCTTTCTTATCTCTCCTTGCTTCTTGGGAACTCTGCATTCAATTTTTTTCATTTTACAGTGAATTACACCTTATTCATAGTGAGGACACATAAGTTCTACATTAAAGCAAACGTAAACTTTTACTGTGTGTGTGTGGAATATAGTCACTGAAAGGTATAGTGACCCTCATGCCAGTGTATCAGTCAGATTAAAAATTACAGAAATGAGGGCGCTCACCCTGGTGCTCCTTGCCAGCCTGGAGGTGGGTGGGGTGGGGAGGCGGGAGGGAGGTTCACGGGGAGGGGGCGTCTGTGTGCTTGTGGCTGATTCAGGTTGTGCAGCAGAAGCCAGCACAACCTTGTAAAGCAGCTGTTGGTGGTGCTCAGTCACCAAATCATATCCGACTCTGCCACCCACCAGCTGCAGCACGCAAGGCTTCCCTGTCCTTCATTGGCTCCTGGAGTTTGCTCAGACTCATGTCCATTGAGATGGTTGGAACCATCTCATCTTCTGTTGCCCCCTTCTCTTGCCCTCAATCTTTCCCAGCACCAGGGCCTTTTCCAATGAGTCAGCTCTTTGCGTCAGGTGGCCAAAGTAAAGCGATTATCTTCCAATTAAAAATAAATTCTAAAATATTATGGAAACGGTCAGACTTCTGATAACCTCAATAAGCTTGAGCAACTTTTTACTCTTAGAGAATAAACCAGTCTGAGGCATTTACCAAAATTAACTAGCACATCACTTTTGCTCCCTGGATTATCTTGATGAAAGAATGTTCCAGCTTGAGAAATTCTGCTCCAGGCCAAAAGTTGACTGACTTGATCCAGGATTTATTCTCAATTGTTGTTTACGTTTGAAATGTTTTTGCATATTTGGCATTCCATAGCCTATCCGGAGAGGTTGTAGGTCTAATGAAGCATCTTAAGCCTGTGCTTCTGCAGCTTGGTAGGGCCTGTGTCTGTGACAGTCTCTGCCTCTCGTGGCCCTGGACTCTGAGGACAAGCAGTTTATCGAGATATTTCAGAGTTCTGCTAAAAGCTAACCTCTAACCTCTTCATTCAGATTAATTCTACAAAACATTTCAATGTTTTCTCAGGCTGCAGAAGATGTCAATGTCACTTTTGAAGATCAACAAAAGATAAACAAATTTGCACGGAATACAAGTAGAATCACAGAGCTGAAGGAAGAAATAGAAGTAAAAAAGGTATTGAAACTGGATCTTATTTAAGATACATGAAAGCTCTTCCTCCTGTAGCTTTTTGTAACTAAATTCAGTCCTGTGTGATTGTAGCGCTCTCGGGCTCCCGTTGCGAGTCACGTGATACACTCCAGTTAGTTTAAGAAGGAAGATGTTAGTTGAGGAAGGTGGGCGCGGGCCCATTGTTGAGGGGTGTGCCCTCTGGCCGAGGGTCGAGGAGCCACGCGGCAGAGGCCTGGGCCGGTGATGGGGCTGCTGCTTCACCGCTGACGCAGGGCTGGCTGCGCGCTCCTTGGGGAGGATTCTGCCAGGCGGTCCTTGGGACTCTGGGCCGCTGCCCACCCCAGGCCTGCGTGTCAGAGCCCACTTCTCATGGCAGCTCTCCTGGGCTGGAGGCCAGGTCAAATGTCGTTGATTAGGGGAATTTATGTTATTATTTGCTTGTATCGAGCAGAGCTGAGAAAGGCGAGTTTGTGTTTGTGTTTTTATTCTGCTGTTGGAAGGCAGAATTCCCAAGGAGAAAAGCAAAGTAGGAGACCTTCCGAGTGGCCGTGGATACCCCGTGGTCCGCTCCAGGGGCCGTGGAGCAGTCTGGAGCGGTACAGAGGGCAGTGAGTTAGTGTGCTCCTGTGTGCTCCCGTGGGAAATGCCATCTAAAACATGCACGACACTCTTATTTCAGTGTGACAGTTCCTTTGTGAAAGGGTCTCTTAGAGCATAGCACGGGTGTCCCAGATGACAAGTGGGTTTTACCCTCGGTCAGAGAGTTTTGAATGCATTTTCCATTGCTGTTCACTTCTGATATACAGAAACAGCTACAGAACTTAGAAGATGCCTGTGAGGACATCATTCTTGCAGATGACGACTGCTTAATGGTACCTTATCAGATCGGCGATGTTTTCATTAGCCATTCTCAAGAAGAAACACAAGAAATGTTAGAAGAAGCCAAGGTATGTTGAAATCTGTCCCTGGAGGGGGAAGTTTAACTGTTAAATTAGGATTTTATGTCATCATAAAGAACGTGTAATTATAGATGTAGGCAAGATCAGGGATGCCAGCTTACATTTCATGGCTCCTTCCAATGTCCTCGGCCTCCTCTGAATGCTTGTAAATATGATTTTGTTTAATCTCAAGGATGACTCTGGCATATTTGTGGGAATCCCAGTTTAGAGTTGAAGAAGAATAGAGTCTTAGGTTATGGGACTCACTCAGAATGACAAAGGGGATGATCTTTTGAGCCCAGAAGCTGTGGCCTAAATTTATAGTTTTCAGAAAGTACAGAATATCATAAAACAGAAAAAGAAGACCACTCGTAATCCTACTATCCAGAGGTGATCATCCATGACAAACAGTTTCATGTGTTTCTTTTATGTTCTCTTCCTATATGTATTTTTACGTCACATTTTGGTCAGTTAACATCCTAGTGGGAGTATTTTATTGTTCCATTCAATGTTCATTTATCCAGCAGGTCTTCACCAGGAGCCTGCTGGGGCCACATGTGCGTCAAAAGCATCATTTTTGATGACCGTTTAATGTCTTGTTAGAGGACATTGATTCAGCTCACTGTCCTCTCGTTACAGTAATTTGTTTTCACTATTTTTCTACTATAGGAATATTGTGGTGAACATTCTTATTAAATCTTTGGTCACCTTTAGGAAGTTTCTTTAAGGAACTAATCAGAGAAGTGTAATTACTGGGTCAGAGTATGGATTCATTGACAACATTTGGGCTTGTTAAAAATTCAGATTATTGAGTCCAGCGCCAAGAATTCCTTATTCGCGAGGCCTTTAGTGGCGCCCTGGTGACCTGGGGGCTCCGCTTTGAGAACCGCTGGCCAGATTTCTAACATGTTAACATTGCCGATACTAGACATTCTTCTTTTGTTCCAGGTATTAACGGGTATGTGTATTATTTGTGTGAATCCATTTTTTCTTTGTCGTAGTTAGGAAAAATCCTTTTGATCCTGGCCAGGAAGGGATTTCTGACATTCCGTGCATTTCGTGTGGCAGAGCTTCTCTGTCATAAATGAGACTCTGATTACGGCTCTTTCAGAGTCTAACTCCAGGGGCCTCATTGTTAGGAAACCTTCCAGATTTTGACAAGTTGTTACTCTTAAATTATTGGTGGGAGTGTGAATTTTTATCATTTCCTGTAGTTCCGTAGTTATTTTTGTGGGAAGTTGAAAGAGGCTGTGTCAGAAGACAGGCCCAGGGTAAACTGTTTACCTAATATGTTTATATAGCATTCTTTCTTTTTTGGGATATGATAATCTATTTTATCTTATTCTGTTCTTTCAAGTCAGCCAGAACTGAGAAAAGCTTGATTTAGTCTATAATAAACAAATATAGATCATGAATGAAACATGCCCACAGTCAGACTTTTGGTTTAGATTTAATTATCAGTATTATTTAGCTGCCTGTCCAAGTTTAGGAAGTGTTTGACCTAAAATCCTTCCCAGATGTTATTTCATTCACAGATGCTCAGAATTCATCCAATTGAATAGGATTAATTTAAACTAATTTTTTTTTCTTGCAGAAAAATTTGCAAGAAGAAATTGACGCCTTAGAATCCAGAGTGGAATCAATTCAGCGGGTGTTAGCAGATTTGAAAGTTCAGTTATATGCAAAATTTGGGAGTAACATAAACCTTGAAGCTGATGAAAGTTAAACATTTTATAAAATTTTTTTTAATTTGTTTAATAAACTTGGAATATTGTTTAAAATGATAATTTCCCTTCTTCAAATGAAATGGAAAGCAAAACTTTTTTTAAATTTTTCATTTATTTAATGGAAACTTGCCTATTTTCACGTCTTGCTTATTTATTTTATATTTTTAAAAGAAGACAGTATTCATCTATGTATTTTGCATAATAATTATATCAAGTGTAGGGGCTTTATGTCATGTTATTAAAATCAGTTAAGCAATCTTTCATGTTTCTATATTGTCATTAAGAATATTTGTGCCATTTTTACTTACAAGAAAATTTTAACAGTTACATGTGTCATGTTGTTTATCTGTGTCTATTTCAGTTGCCCCTTTGAGATGATGAAAGCCCTGCTTTCATTCCATCTTATATCTGTCTGTCTACTCACTTCCCCAACTAACACTGTCGTATACTAAAACATATGTGTATGCTTTATTTAAATACGTGCAGTATATATTACATCTTAGTATATATATTTCTTACATATATTGGTTTAAGAGTCCAGATGACGCAGAAACAAGTTGAGGCCTATTGAGCTTCATACATAGAGCAGAACAACCGAGATAAAGCAATAGAAAGAGATGTTTAGGTTCTTTTTTTTTTTTCAAATAACGTTTTAGACTTTATTTTAGTGCTTTATAATTAACTGCAGTTTATATTGATAATGATTTGGAAGTTAAGCAGCTGTGTATTTAAAAATAAGGCTTTTTACCTTAAAGAGCACATTTACTCCCTACTGCCCTCCCCCAGAAGATAACCCTTTTGGGATTTAGAAGACTTACCTATACTAACTTTCCAGCAGATGGCACTGATATGCCAAAACACCAATGGAGGCCTCATAATGCAAAAATGAGATGTCCAAGATTAACTGTCCAGAGTTTTAGAGGAAATGTCATTTTTTAATTCTCAAGGCTAAACACTGCGTATGTATTTTTTGGTTAAATGTTTAAAAACAGTTTAGCCTGAAAGGTAGAGAGTGTGTGTGTGTGTTAGTCACTCAGTCCTGTCTGACTCTGCAACCTCACGGACTGCAGCCCGCCAGGCGCCTCTGTCCATGGAATGCTCCAGGCAAGAATCCTGGATGGGTAGCCATTCTCTTCTCCAGGGGGTTTTCCTAGCCTCGAGATCAAGCACGGGTCTCCTGCGCTGCAGGCAGCTTCTTGGTTGTCTGAGGCATCAAGGAAGCCGGAAGGTAGAATGTGTGACTCGAAAGTGCTTCATGACCTAAAGGCATACTTCTAAGTCGCTGCAAATTTTCTCAAGTAGTATATTCAAATCCTAGAAAACGACTGTCACAAGGATAGTTTTTCTTCTGTGCACTTGGTTGCAAGCGTGAGACTTGGAAATGTACCAGGAAATAGATGACACCCTCAAGCTAGAAAGAGCTTCCCTTGTGGCTCAGCTGGTAAAGAATCTGCCTGTAGTGCGGGAGACCTGGGTTCAATCCCCAGGTTGGGAAGATCCCCTGAAGAAGGAAATGGTAACCCACTCCATTACTCTTGCCTGGAGAATCCCATGGAGGAGCCTGGTAGGCTACTGCCCACGGGGCACAAAGAGTCAGACACGACTGAGCAACCAACATTCTCTCTCCAATTGGAGAAGTTGGAGAAGCTTTGGGCCTGGTTCCAAGGCTGGAGGGTAAACTCCAGGAGTGTGTGTACCCACGGGCCTCAGGGAGGAGTGGCCACCCCCTCCACTCCGGGACCGGGGCAGGGCTGCCTTGGTTTACGAGAGGCACAGCTGGCCCGCGACCTCCCCGCAGTGACGAGTGTGGACGGGACCCTGACCTCACACTCCCTGCAGAACCCAGTGGGTGCCCACCGTTGGCCAAACGCAGCCGCAATCCAGAGGTGGTCCTTAGAAGTTGGTCTGTTACAGGGCCCGCGGGGAGACGGATGGATGGGTCTGGTGGGCCTCTTGGAAGACCCAGCGGAGGCTGGCTGAAACCGAACCGTTGAGAAGTTTTGACAGTGAAGGCTCAGCTGACTGACATGCCAGAAACGGAATTGTGTAACCGGCCAGGATTGAGAATTTTGTCAGCGCGTTAGCAAATAAGCCTAACACAAGAAAACAAAGATTTCATGGTGGGGAGGAAGAGGGACACATTATTGCTAACTTTCTACCTTGTCTTTAAAGTTTACCTGTGAAGTAAATTTATAAAGGACATCGAAATATGTGACTCGCATTTTAAGTTCATTGAAGTCCCATTTAAGTTCACCAAGGGTCCCTCAGCCTTCTCGTTTTTATTAGTAACCTCGCTGGGCCGGTGAAGGCTGCAGACGGAACGCACCGCATCTCGCCCTGAGCCCTCCCTCCACCGTAGACCTGTGACCTGAACTGTCACCGCTAACCTTTTTGTTTTAAGTTGGAGTGTAATCCTGTGACAATGTTAGTTTCTGCTTGCAACAAAGTGAGTCAGTTGTATGCATGCACGTGTCCCCCTTCTGAGCCTCCCTCCCACAAACCCCCCGCCCCGCCCCGCCACTGTCCTTTTGACAGGAATCCTGATTTTTATGTACAGTCACTATTTTTAGAAAATGCAGCTTTTTTTTTTTTTAAAGCAATGCAGGCTAAACAAAAGATATTTGTGGAATAAAATGGACCAGCAGGCTGCCAGTTTGCAAACTCACGCACAATATGCTACATCCTATCCAGGCCTTGATAGGAAGCAAAGAACAGGTCATTTGGTCTACAATGTGCGTCTTAGGAGCTTGTGCTGCTGACTTTAGTTTTCAAATACGTCTCAAGCCTATCCATTTCTTTATATCTCCACAGCCACCAGTGGGCTTGTCCAAGCGATAAGAGCTCTACTCAAAACCCTGACTCACGGGGTGATGGGGAGTTCAGGGCTGCTGGACAGGGGCGTCATTTGATAGAGTTCTGACAGCTGGAAGCCAGGGGCAGTCTCCGAGGGGCTTTGAACAGAAAGGTGGTATATATGATGGGAACGGGATTTTAGAATAATTGGGCAGCTGTTCAGTGGTTTTCTGACAGTCATGGAGGAAGGGTTACTGGATGTTACTGCACTTTCTTTGGTATGTGGATCCAGTTGGCAGGGGAAGACCAGGAAGCCAGACCTGGAGAGAAGGTGAGGGCTGCCAGCCTTGACAGTGGCTGGGGAGGTGAAGGAGCCAGAGAGAACGTGGCTGAGGACAGCCTGCAACAGCATTTGTTTCTCAGTTAAAATTTTTTTTCTTCAACATTGCTTGCTACAATAAAATCGAGATCTCACGTGAAGATCCACAGTTTGGCAACAGAGACATTCCAGTCGCACCTGTAGCCGCTCACCATCAGATGGGGCGGGGGTCCAGCTAGCCCGCCCCCCTCCTCATGTGCATAGTTTGGGGTCCTGCTGGCACTAGACTCTGCAACACCCCCTCTCAAGAGCACCCCCCCCCCCAGGAAGCCTGTAGAATGGCTAACAAAGGTGGCAAAGTTGTGAGTGTCTGGCTTATCCTGCGGGGAGGGGAGGAGAAGGTCAGGAGGCTGGCTTTGAACCCTTGGAGTTGCCAACCTGCACATGTGCCCTTGGCAGTTGGAAAGGTGAGTTGGGACCTTTTTTCCCCGGGGCCAGAAGGGCAGCCAAATCCCCGGTGCTGCCACCTCCCAGGAGAGGTGGGGCCGCCTGAGGTCGGGAGCCGGCAGCCAAGGTGGGTCTGGGAGTGCCTGCCTGGCAGCGACCTGCTCTGCGTCCTGGGAGGCGGCGGGGCTCAGGGGCCCAGGTCCTGGCACGGAGGCGCGGTCTGCACTTGAGCCCCTGCTTCCCGGGTCCCCGTGAGCCCGGGGCAGGTCGAGCCCCTGCTTCCCGGGTCCCCGTGAGCCTGGGGCAGTCTGAGCCCCTGCTTCCCGGCTTGCTGAGTCGTGGCAGACTCTTTGCGACCCCATGGACTGTATCCCGCCAGGCTCCTCCATCCATGGGATTCTCCAGGTAAGAACACTGGAGCGGGTTGCCATTTCCTTCGCCAGGGGATCTTCCCGTCCCAGGGATGGAACCTGTGTCTCCTGCTTTGGCAGGCGGATTCTTTACCATGAATCACCCGGGAAGACCCCCATGCAGGACTGTGGACGTTGTTTTAGGGCAGTTTTCATCCTAGAGAAGTGCTTCTAGTTACGGTTACTGGGGATTTTGTTAAAACGCAGTTTCTGGTTCAGTGCGTTCAGGCTGAGGCCTGGATCTCTGCATTTCTAACAAACTTCTGCTATTGCTGGTCGGTGGGCCACACACTTGTCAGCCTAGATGGCTTGTTGTGGAAGAGAAGAGTGCTTAGAATTCAGCTGGGAGGAAAAAGAACCAGGAGAGGAGGCAGAGGCTGCGGTGTGAGTGGGTGCAGAATATGACCGCTCTCACAGATGGAAAGTTTTCTGCAGGACTAAATCCTGAAAAATAATTTTCTCCATTAGGCATGATGTTGAGCATGTGAAGGATAGAATAGGTGCCTTCAGCAACTATTTATAGAAACTGGGGGTGGAACCCAGTGGTTTAACAAGCCTTCCAGGTGGTTGTGATTCAGTTAAAGATCCCTAGGTTCAAGTGATTGCGGCTGTATGGGCAGGAAGGCCCCCCCCCCCCCCCCCCCGCCCAAGGCCAGCGGAGACTTCTTGGTCCCCGGCTTCAGTGGGGGGAGCATCCAAGAAGAGACTGACCCGTCTTGCCTGGGGGGCTGGCGGCTGGGGCGTCCAGCTTGCTGGTTGGTGGCAAACAGCGTATAAAAGACTAAGCAGTGGGTCATGGAGATGTGGAGGCAGAAGTGAGAAGTATTTTTACAAGAAAGTGAACGGTGGAGGGAAGGTGGTAGACTGTCCTTTGATGCCATTACTATGCAGCCAGAAGGGCCATTTTGGGTTTGCTTTTGTTTTCGAAGATCAGGGAATATATGAATCCATGTAGGAGTAGATGGGGAAGAATCCAGGAGAGAAAGTGATGAAAAAACCAAGGAACAAGAGACACAGACGCTCAGCAAGGGAAGGGTCCGTGCGAGCATTGGGCTTCTCCGAACAGTAAACTGGAAAGATGCGTGGTGCAGTTCATGTTTATGCAAACTCTTCCTGGAGGAATAAATGATAGAAAAAATCAGAATGGTGATTAATTCTGGAGAGTAAGAAAGATATGGGCGGGGGGGAGACCAACCCAGGAAGCTGGTCATGGGTTGGTTGGTTTAGTTGCTGAGTCATGTCTGACTCTTTGGGACCCATGGAATGTAGCCTGCCAGGCTCCTCTGTCCATGAGGTTTCCCAGGCAAAAATACTGGAGTGGATTGCCATTTCCTTCTCTAGGGGATCTCCCCGACCCTGGGCTCAAACCTGAGACTCCTGTATTGCAGGCGGAGTCTCTACCACTGAACCACCTGGGCACAGAGCCATTTCCTTCAGTGCCTTGCATGCAGTGTGAATCCTTTGTGAAATCACTCACAGTAGCAAGTTTTTATAAAATTCTGTTAGTTCTGGCAAAAACCAAATAGAAGTGTGTGTTGTAAGGTTCTTGGAAGTGAAGTGAAAGTCGCCCAGTTGGGTCTGACTCTTGGAATTCTGCAGGTCAGAATACTGGAGTGGGTAGCCTTTCCCTTCTCCAGGGGATCTTCACAACCCAGGCCTCCCGCATTGCAGGCGGATTCTTTACCAGCTGAGCCGCCAGGGAAGGCCTTGCAGGGTTGTTACTGATGCTTGACTCCATCACTTTCAGCATTTTCTCATGTCATTTGACATAAAGCAGAGTAGTGTAACTCTCGATTTCAAAAGGTAAAAATAGTTTAACAACTGAAGCCTCAGTTCTTTATTAAAGACCATATGCGTACAGATACGCAGACACACGTGCCCACATGTGCTCGACAGAACTTAAAGTCTGGCTTAGAGTCTGGATTTTGGAGAAGGGTGATTAGGGTGGGTTGGTTTATAGGTGTTTTCCAGTGATTAATTTTCTGGTAGAGCCTGCATTCTGATCTCTGAGAATAATTCTGATACCAAGAACCAGTACTGGGGGCTTATGTGTTGGTGCTGTTCTGAAGGCTTTTTCTGTATTGAATCTTTTCTCACAATAACACTACAGACTAGTATCACTTCTCATGGTACAGATGTGGTAAAAGCTTTATGAAGATTGAGCAATTTGCACCAGGTACTGTAGCTTAGTGAGCAAACGGGCTGTTAATGTACAGGCTGTACTTCTGAGATTTCTTTGGTGATTTTGTGTCCTTTTACTGATGAAAAAGAATTTCAGAATGTGTGTGTGTGTGTGCATATAAAATATAAAGATTAAAAGAAGAGGGAAGGGACTTCCCTGCTGGTCCAGTGGCTAAGACGCTGTGCTCCCAATGCAGGGAGCCTGTGTTCGATCCTTGGTCGGAGAACTCAGTCCCAAGCGCTGCAACTAAGACCCAGCACAGCCAAACAAAAAATTATTTAAAAAGAGAGAGGGAAAAGGGAAAGGAGTAAAAAAAGAAAAAAGTAAATACATTGGCACAGAGTCCACACATTAGGTTAACACAGTCGCGATTCTGGCGGTTAAGGCAAAGAAAGAAAATGAAGTGCAATAACCACATTAAAAAGAGTGATATACACCAGGAGAATGAAAAAAAAAAAAAAGTTTCTCAGAGGATTAAACCCTGAAAAAAAGTTCCCTATTGACTTTGAGCAATGCAATAGATGTTAACTTCAACACCGATTCAGAATAAATGCAGGAGCAAAATTCACAAGGCCAACTCTCATAGCAACTTAACAGTTAACCTCAATCCAGTGGAAGGGAATCCGGGAGAGGCTGTTGATAACCAGCCAACATCCGTATAGCTGGCACAGCCTGAGCACTTGATATATACCAAGCAGTCCTTCTGACCCTCTAAGGAACAGGCTATTATCACTGTCTCCATTTTACAGATGAGAAAATGGAGGCCCAGAGAAATCAAATACCCTGCTGGAGGTTCCCCCGTCTTTAGGGGAGGAGCCAAGACTCAAATCCACGCAGTGGGGCTTCCGTCTCTGTACCGAGCCCCTCGAGTGCAGTACTGACATCTAAGTGTATAATCTTGGAGCAGTCCCTGTCGATCCAAGGACACATGTAGGTCATTTCACATTGGGTAGGAATTAGCAGCGTGGTGACGGCCTTGGCCTGCGAGCCATCACAAAGGACCCCTTTACTGGGGACCCATTCCATGCCATCTTGTGAGATGAAGGGAGGTCTGTGGTTACGCCTGTAGAACATCTGCCATCTCGAACTTGGCCAGTGTGCACGGGAACATTGGGTGTTGGAAAGGAACAGTTTTCTCATTTATTTTGTAATAATATATCCGACATTCACAATTGTGTCACAGTTTGGAATAACGCTGGAATTGTTGGTAGAGTTTGTCTGGTAGATGTCAACAAAACTCATGATGACACAGATGTCGATAAGCAGATGCATTAGGAAATGGAATTAAACCTTCCTGAGGAAGTGATGGCAGTGAAGAACAATTGGCCTGAAGAGCACTTGGACTTAATTAATAATCTACTAATTATCTTGAAAGTGATAAGTGAAAGCTTACTCACTCAGCTGTGTCTAATTCCATGTGACCCCGTGGACTCCTCTGTCCATGGGATGCTCCAGGTAAGAACACTGGAGTGGGTTGCCATCCTCGTCTCCAGGGGATCTTCCTGACCCAGGGATTGAACCTGGGTGTCCTGTATTACAGGCATACTCTTAACCATCTGAGTCACCAGGAAAGCCTAATTATCTTAAATCAGCTCAAACTTCTGAAGTCCAAATTACAGCAGCTGGCAGTGGTGAAAACAACTGTAATTAAATGAGCCCCCAGATCTGATGAGACGTGTCCACGATGCCTGGATTTGGCCACTTCTCCACCATGGTCTCCACCGTGGTCTCCGCCTTGGTCCAGTGGCCTTGATGGGTCACGTGGGCTCTTGCTCATTTCTTCTAATGAGCCTCCCTGCCTCCATTCTTTCTGATACATCCCTCCTTCTATCCATATTTTACCCCAGTAGCCAAATACATTTTTCAGATTACAAATCTGATTCCCCTCCTTTCAAAAAAAACACAAAAAAACAGAGAGTATTCTCTTGGAGAGCGTAGTGGAAAAGAAAACCCCTCTCATGGCTGGCGTAGTGTCCACCCTGACTGCTTCTCCACCGCCCTGGCCTCTCTGCGTGAGCCACACTGGCCTTGTTCCCGTTGTCCAGACCTGTCATGTTCCTTTCAGTCACAGACCCGTACGTCCTCCAGATCACACCCCCCATCGCCTTCGCAGCCCACCCCCTCTCCTGTGCAGCACGTGCGGCTGAAACACTGGTATTAGTAGCTCTCTGTACAATTGTTGGTGTGGCTCCCTCGTTAGTTGAAGTCAGGGGCCATGCTGATCTTGTATTCTCAGCCTGACTCACCAGGCAACCTGGCACACTCTCAGTCTTTATCATGGTCCAGCAATTCCACTCCACGGAGGGATTCAATAGACAGGAGAGGTTGTGTCCATCAAAAGACATGAGCATAAATGCTCATAGTGACTTTAATAGCCAAACCTTGGCAGCAGCCCAATTGCCATCAACAGGAAGATGGATACATAAACTGCGGTCTCTTCAGATTAACACAATGAAATACTACACAGCAATAAAAAAGAGCAAATGACTTTGACATGCAAGAAAACAGATGAATCTCACAGTGTTCTGTGAAAGAAGGCAGACACAAAACTGTATTTTTTGTGATTACTCTCATAGGAGCTTTAGCAATAAGGGAAGTCTCCTGTTAGAGGAGAATGGTTAGGGACGTTGGCTAAAGCACAGGCTCTATAGGGTTATAGAGCCCCTGACAAGCTTCGTTCACACATAATCTGCAAACCCTGTGACACTGACTCTTTCTGGATCTCCTTTGTCAGATGAGGGAAGCTCTGTGAGGAGTGTCGACTTAAAAAATTGTCACCAGATGAAAGCTGAGTGATGTTTTACCCGGTGGGACTTTTAAGACTTCAAGCCTGGGAGACATTATCTCAAGGGACCCTGAGAGCACTGTTCCCAGGACTTAGAGGGAGAGTCAGCTTACAGAGAAATCTGCAGCAAGGGGCAGGCGGTCTGAACATCAAGAGTATCGTTAATTAAAGAAAAGCAGTTATCTCAAGGAATTTAGCGCTTTCCCATATGTGCTAAGTCGCTCAGTCGTGTCCGACTCTTTGTGACCCCATGGACTGAGGTCCACCAGGCTCCTCTGTCCATGGGGTTCTCCAGGCCGGAATCCTGGAGTGGGTGCCGTGCCCTCCTCCAGGGATGGAAGTCTTATCTCCTAGTCTCCTGTGTTGGAGGTGACTCCCTCAGCACCGGCACGGCGGGAAGATGCCAGCGGGGGCGCCCTGAGATCTCTCCTTTCACAGGCACCTCGCCTGTCTGGGGCCAGAGTCCTGTTTTACATCCGGAGCTCCCTTTCTTCTGGGCTCACCCAGGGAACGGCGACCAACTGGTGACTGTAGGATGGCCGGCTGTCTCCTCCCTCCTGAGCACTCTCGGGGCTCACCGTCTGATGACTGTAGGATGGCCGGCTGTCTCCTCCCTCCTGCGCGCCCTCGGGGCTCACCGTCTGGTGACTGTAGGATGGCCGGCTGTCTTCTCCCTCCTGCGCGCCCTCGGGGCTCACCCTCTGGTGACTGTAGGATGGCCGGCTGTCTCCTCCCTCCTGCCCGCCCTCGGTGCTCACCGTCTGGTGACTGTAGGATGGCCGGCTGTCTCCTCCCTCCTGAGCGCCCTCGGTGCTCACCGTCTGGTGACTGTAGGATGGCCGGCTGTCTTCCCCCTCCTGAGCGCCCTCGGGGCTCACTGTCTGATGACTGTAGGATGGCCGGCTGTCTCCTCCCTCCTGAGCGCCCTTGGGGCTCACCGTCTGGTGACTGTAGGATGGCCGGCTGTCTTCTCCCTCCTGAGCGCCCTCGGGGCTCACTGTCTGATGACTGTAGGATGGCCGGCTGTCTCCTCCCTCCTGAGCGCCCTCGGGGCTCACCGTCTGGTGACTGTAGGATGGCCGGCTGTCTCCTCCCTCCTGAGCGCCCTCGGGGCTCACCATCTGGTGACTGTAGGATGGCCGGCTGTCTTCTCCCTCCTGAGCGCCCTCGGGGCTCACTGTCTGATGACTGTAGGATGGCCGGCTGTCTCCTCCCTCCTGAGCGCCCTCGAGGCTCACCCTCTGGTGACTGTAGGATGGCCAGCTGTCTCCTCCCTCCTGAGCGCCCTCGGTGCTCACCGTCTGGTGACTGTAGGATGGCCGGCTGTCTCCTCCCTCCTGAGCGCCCTCGGGGCTCACCGTCTGCTGACCGTAGGATGGCCGGCTGTCTCCTCCCTCCTGAGCGCCCTCGGGGCTCACCGTCTGGTGACTGTAGGATGGCCGGCTGTCTCCTCCCTCTTGCGCGCCCTCGGGGCTGACCGTCTGATGACTGTAGGATGGCCGGCTGTCTCCTCCTTCCTGAGCGCCCTCGGGGCTCACCGTCTGGTGACCGTAGGATGGCCGGCTGTCTCCTCCCTCCTGAGCGCCCTCGGGGCTCACCCTCTGATGACTGTAGGATGGCCGGCTGTCTCCTCCCTCCTGAGCGCCCTCGGGGCTCACCCTCTGATGACTGTAGGATGGCCGGCTGTCTCCTCCCTCCTGAGCGCCCTCGGGGCTCACCGTCTGGTGACTGTAGGATGACCGGCTGTCTTCTCCCTCCTGAGTGCCCTCGGGGCTCACGCTGTGGTGACTCTAGGATGACCGGCTGTCTTCTCCCTCCTGAGCGCCCTCGGGGCTCACCCTCTGGTGACTGTAGGATGGCCGGCTGTCTCCTCCCTCCTGAGCACCCTCGGAGCTCACCGTCTGGTGACTGTAGGATGGCCGGCTGTCTCCTCCCTCCTGCACGCCCTTGGGGCTCACCGTCTGGTGACTGTAGGATGGCCGGCTGTCTCCTCCCTCCTGCGCGCCCTTGGGGCTCACCGTCTGGTGACTGTAGGATGGCCGGCTGTCTTCTCCCTCCTGCGCGCCCTCGGGGCTCACCGTCTGGTGACTGTAGGATGGCCGGCTGTCTCCTCCCTCCTGCGCGCCCTTGGGGCTCACCGTTTGATGAGTGTAGGATGGCCGGCTGTCTTCCCCCTCCTGAGCGCCCTCGGGGCTCACCGTCTGGTGACTGTAGGATGGCCGGCTGTCTCCTCCCTCCTGCGCGCCCTTGGGGCTCACCGTTTGATGAGTGTAGGATGGCCGGCTGTCTCCTCCCTCCTGCGCGCCCTTGGGGCTCACCGTCTGGTGACTGTAGGATGGCCGGCTGTCTCCTCCCTCCTGCGCGCCCTTGGGGCTCACTGTCTGATGACTGTAGGATGGCCGGCTGTCTCCTCCCTCCTGCGCGCCCTCGGGGCTCACAGTCTGATGACTGTAGGATGGCCGGCTGTCTCCTCCCTCCTGCGCGCCCTTGGGGCTCACCCTCTGGTGACTGTAGGATGGCCGGCTGTCTCCTCCCTCCTGAGCACCCTCGGAGCTCACCGTCTGGTGACTGTAGGATGTCCGGCTGTCTTCCCCCTCCTGAGCGCCCCCGGGGCTCACCGTCTGGTGACTGTAGGATGGCCGGCTGTCTCCTCCCTCCTGAGCGCCCTCGGGGCTCACCCTCTGGTGACTGTAGGATGGCCGGCTGTCTTCTCCCTCCTGAGCGCCCTCGGGGCTCACCGTCTGGTGACTGTAGGATGGCCGGCTGTCTCCTCCCTCCTGAGCATCCTCGGAGCTCACCGTCTGGTGACTGTAGGATGGCCGGCTGTCTTCCCCCTCCTGAGCATCCTCGGGGCTCACCGTCTGGTGACTGTAGGATGGCCGGCTGTCTCCTCCCTCCTGAGTGCCCTCGGGGCTCACCGTCTGGTGACTGTAGGATGGCCGGCTGTCTCCTCCCTCCTGAGCGCCCTCGGGGCTCACCCTCTGGTGACTGTAGGATGGCCGGCTGTCTTCTCCCTCCTGAGCGCCCTCAGGGCTCACCGTCTGGTGACTGTAGGATGGCCGGCTGTCTCCTCCCTCCTGAGCGCCCTCGGGGCTCACCGTCTGGTGACTGTAGCATGGCCGGCTGTCTCCTCCCTCCTGAGCGCCCTCGGGGCTCACTGTCTGGTGACTGTAGGATGGCCGGCTGTCTCCTCCCTCCTGAGCGCCCTCGGGGCTCACCGTCTGGTGACTGTAGGATGGCCGGGGTCTCCTCCCTCCTGCGCCCTTGGGCTCACCCTCTGGTGACTGTAGGATGGCCGGCTGTCTTCCCCCTCCTGAGCGGCCTCGGGGCTCACCCTCTGGTGACTGTAGGATGGCTGGCTGTCTTCTCCCTCCTGAGCGCCCTCGGGGCTCACCCTCTGGTGACTGTAGGATGGCCGGCTGTCTCTTCCCTCCTGAGCGCCCTCGGGGCTCACTGTCTGATGACTGTAGGATGGCCGGCTGTCTTCCCCCTCCTGAGCACCCTCGGGGCTCACCGTCTGGTGACTGTAGGATGGCCGGCTGTCTTCTCGCTCCTGGTTGCCCTCGGGGCTCACTGTCTGGTGACTGTAGGATGGCCGGCTGTCTCCTCCCTCCTGAGTGCCCTCGGGGCTCACCGTCTGGTGACCGTAGTATGGCCGCCTGTCTCTTCCCTCCTGAGCGCCCTCGGGGCTCACCCTCTGGTGACTGTAGCATGGCCGGCTGTCTCCTCCGTCCTGAGCGCCCTCGGGGCTCACTGTCTGATGACTGTAGGATGGCCGGCTGTCTTCTCCCTCCTGGTTGCCCTCGGGGCTCACTGTCTGATGACTGTAGGATGGCCGGCTGTCTCCTCCCTCCTGCGCGCCCTCGGGGCTCACCGTCTGGTGACTGTAGGATGGCCGGCTGTCTTCTTCCACCTGAGCGCCCTCGGGGCTCACCGTCTGATGACTGTAGGATGGCCGGCTCTCTTCTCCCTCCTGAGCACCCTCGGGGCTCACCCTCTGGTGACTGTAGGATGGCCGGCTGTCTTCTCCCTCCTGAGCGCCCTCGGGGCTCACCGTCTGGTGACTGTAGGATGGCCGGCTGTCTCCTCCCTCCTGAGCGCCCTCGGGGCTCACCCTCTGGTGACTATAGGATGGCCGGCTGTCTCCTCCCTCTTGCGCGCCCTTGGGACTCACCATCTGGTGACTGTAGGATGGCCGGCTGTCTTCTCCCTCCTGAGCGCCCTCGGAGCTCACCGTCTGGTGACTGTAGGATGGCCGGCTGTCTTCTCCCTCCTGAGCGCCCTCGGGGCTCACCGTCTGGTGACTGTAGGATGGCCGGCTGTCTCCTCCCTCCTGAGCGCCCTCGGGGCTCACCCTCTGGTGACTATAGGATGGCCGGCTGTCTCCTCCCTCTTGCGCGCCCTTGGGACTCACCATCTGGTGACTGTAGGATGGCCGGCTGTCTTCTCCCTCCTGAGCGCCCTCGGAGCTCACCGTCTGGTGACTGTAGGATGGCCGGCTGTCTTCCCCCTCCTGAGCGCCCTCGGGGCTCACCCTCTGGTGACTGTAGGATGGCCGGTTGTCTCCTCCCTCCTGAGTGCCCTCGGGGCTCACCGTCTGGTGACTGTAGGATGGCCGGCTGTCTCCTCCCTCCTGAGCGCCTTTGGGGCTCACCGTCTGATGACTGTAGGATGGCCGGCTGTCTTCTCCCTCCTGAGCTTCCTCGGGGCTCACCGTCTGGTGACTGTAGGATGGCCGGCTGTCTCCTCCCTCCTGAGCGCCCTCGGGGCTCACCGTCTGATGACTGTAGGATGGCCGGCTGTCTCCTCCCTCCTGAGTGCCCTCGGGGCTCACCGTCTGGTGACTGTAGGATGGCCGGCTGTCTTCTCCCTCCTGAGCACCCTCGGGGCTCACCGTCTGGTGACTGTAGGATGGCCGGCTGTCTTCTCACTCCTGGTTGCCCTCGGGGCTCACCGTCTGGTGACTGTAGGATGGCCGGCTGTCTCCTCCCTCCTGAGCGCCTTTGGGGCTCACCGTCTGATGACTGTAGTATGGCCGGCTGTCTCCTCCATCCTGAGCACTCTCGGGGCTCAACGTCTGATGACTGTAGGATGGCCGGCTGTCTCCTCCCTCCTGAGTGCCCTCGGGGCTCACCGTCTGGTGACTGTAGGATGGCCGGCTGTCTCCTCCCTCCTGAGCGCCTTTGGGGCTCACCGTCTGATGACTGTAGTATGGCCGGCTGTCTCCTCCCTCCTGAGCACTCTCGGGGCTCAACGTCTGATGACTGTAGGATGGCCGGCTGTCTCCTCCCTCCTGAGTGCCCTCGGGGCTCACCGTCTGGTGACTGTAGGATGGCCGGCTGTCTCCTCCCTCCTGAGCGCCTTTGGGGCTCACCGTCTGATGACTGTAGGATGGCCGGCTGTCTCCTCCCTCCTGAGCGCCCTCGGGGCTCACTGTCTGATGACTGTAGGATGGCCTGCTGTCTCCTCCCTCCTGAGCGCCCTCGGGGCTCACCCTCTGGTGACTGTAGGATGGCCGGCTGTCTTCCCCCTCCTGAGCGCCCTCGGGGCTCACCGACTGGTGACTGTAGGATGGCCGGCTGTCTTCCCACTCCTGCGCGCCCTCGGGGCTCACCGTCTGATGACTGTAGGATGGCCGGCTGTCTTCTCCCTCCTGAGCACCCTCAGGGGCTCACTGTCTGATGACTGTAGGATGGCCGGCTGTCTCCTCCCTCCTGAGCGCCCTCGGGGCTCACCCTCTGATGACTGTAGGATGGCCGGCTGTCTCCTCCCTCCTGAGCGCCCTCGGGGCTCACCGTCTGGTGACTGTAGGATGCCTGGCTGTCTTCTCCCTCCTGCGCGCCCTCGGGGCTCACCCTCTGGTGACTGTAGGATGGCCGGCTGTCTTCTCCCTCCTGAGCGCCCTCGGGGCTCACCATCTGATGACTGTAGGATGGCCGGCTGTCTTCTCCCTCCTGAGCGCCTTCGGGGCTCACCCTCTGGTGACTGTAGGATGGCCGGCTGTCTCCTCCCTCCTGAGCGCCCTCGGCGCTCACTGTCTGGTGACTCTAGGATGGCCGGCTGTCTCTTCCCTCCTGAGCACCCTCGGGGCTCACCGTCTGGTGACTGTAGGATGGCCAGCTGTCTCCTCCCTCCTGAGCACCCTCGGGGCTCACCCTCTGTTGACTGTAGGATGGCCGGCTGTCTCCTCCCTCCTGAGTGCCCTCGGGGCTCACCGTCTGGTGACTGTAGGATGGCCGGCTGTCTTCTCCCTCCTGAGCGCTCTCGGGGCTCACCATCTGGTGACTGTAGGATGGCCGGCTGTCTCCTTGCTCCTGAGCGCCCTCGGGGCTCACCGTCTGGTGACTGTAGGATGGCCGGCTGTCTTCTCCCTCCTGAGCGCCCTCGGGGTTCACCGTCTGATGACTGTAGGATGGCCGGCTGTCTTCTCCCTCCTGCGCGCCCTCGGGGCTCACCGTCTGGTGACTGTAGGATGGCCGGCTGTCTTCTCCCTCCTGAGCGCCCTCGGGGTTCACCGTCTGATGACTGTAGGATGGCCGGCTGTCTTCTCCCTCCTGAGCGCTCTCGGGACTCACCATCTGGTGACTGTAGGATGGCTGGCTGTCTTCTCCCTCCTGAGCGCTCTCGGGGCTCACCATCTGGTGACTGTAGGATGGCCGGCTGTCTCCTCCCTCCTGAGCGCCCTCGGGGCTCACCGTCTGGTGACTGTAGGATGGCCGGCTGTCTCCTCCCTCCTGAGCGCCTTTGGGGCTCACCGTCTGATGACTGTAGGATGGCCGGCTGTCTTCTCCCTCCTGAGCTTCCTCGGGGCTCACCGTCTGGTGACTGTAGGATGGCCGGCTGTCTCCTCCCTCCTGAGCGCCCTCGGGGCTCACCGTCTGATGACTGTAGGATGGCCGGCTGTCTTCTCCCTCCTGAGCTTCCTCGGGGCTCACCGTCTGGTGACTGTAGGATGGCCGGCTGTCTTCTCCCTCCTGCGCGCCCTCGGGGCTCACCGTCTGGTGACTGTAGGATGGCCGGCTGTCTTCTCCCTCCTGAGCACCCTCGGGGCTCACCCTCTGGTGACTGTAGGATGGCCGGCTGTCTCCTCCCTCCTGAGCGCCCTCGGGGCTCACCGTCTGATGACTGTAGGATGGCCGGCTGTCTTCTCCCTCCTGAGCGCCCTCGGGGCTCACCGTCTGATGACTGTAGGATGGCCGGCTGTCTTCTCCCTCCTGAGCTTCCTCGGGGCTCACCGTCTGGTGACTGTAGGATGGCCGGCTGTCTTCTCCCTCCTGCGCCCTCGGGGCTCACCGTCTGGTGACTGTAGGATGGCCGGCTGTCTCCTCCCTACTGAGCACCCTTGGGGCTCACCGTCTGGTGACTGTAGGATGGCCGGCTGTCTCCTCCCTCCTGAGCGCCCTCGGGGCTCACCGTCTGGTGACTGTAGGATGGCCGGCTGTCTCCTCCCTCCTGAGCGCCTTTGGGGCTCACCGTCTGATGACTGTAGGATGGCCGGCTGTCTTCTCCCTCCTGAGCTTCCTCGGGGCTCACCGTCTGGTGACTGTAGGATGGCCGGCTGTCTCCTCCCTCCTGAGCGCCCTCGGGGCTCACCGTCTGATGACTGTAGGATGGCCGGCTGTCTTCTCCCTCCTGAGCTTCCTCGGGGCTCACCGTCTGGTGACTGTAGGATGGCCGGCTGTCTTCTCCCTCCTGCGCGCCCTCGGGGCTCACCGTCTGGTGACTGTAGGATGGCCGGCTGTCTTCTCCCTCCTGAGCACCCTCGGGGCTCACCCTCTGGTGACTGTAGGATGGCCGGCTGTCTCCTCCCTCCTGAGCGCCCTCGGGGCTCACCGTCTGATGACTGTAGGATGGCCGGCTGTCTTCTCCCTCCTGAGCGCCCTCGGGGCTCACCGTCTGATGACTGTAGGATGGCCGGCTGTCTTCTCCCTCCTGAGCTTCCTCGGGGCTCACCGTCTGGTGACTGTAGGATGGCCGGCTGTCTTCTCCCTCCTGCGCCCTCGGGGCTCACCGTCTGGTGACTGTAGGATGGCCGGCTGTCTCCTCCCTACTGAGCACCCTTGGGGCTCACCGTCTGGTGACTGTAGGATGGCCGGCTGTCTCCTCCCTCCTGAGCGCCTTCGGGGCTCACCCTCTGGTGACTGTAGGATGGCCGGCTGTCTCCTCGCTCCTGAGTGTCCTCGGGGCTCACTGTCTGGTGACTGTAGGATGGCCGGCTGTCTCCTCCCTCCTGAGCACCCTCGGGGCTCACCCTCTGTTGACTGTAGGATGGCCGGCTGTCTTCTCCCTCCTGCGCGCCCTCGGGGCTCACCGTCTGATGACTGTAGGATGGCCGGCTGTCTTCTCCCTCCTGCGCGCCCTCGGGGCTCACCGTCTGGTGACTGTAGGATGGCCGGCTGTCTTCTCCCTCCTGAGCACCCTCGGGGCTCACCCTCTGGTGACTGTAGGATGGCCGGCTGTCTCCTCCCTCCTGAGCGCCCTCGGGGCTCACCGTCTGATGACTGTAGGATGGCCGGCTGTCTTCTCCCTCCTGAGCGCCCTCGGGGCTCACCGTCTGATGACTGTAGGATGGCCGGCTGTCTTCTCCCTCCTGAGCTTCCTCGGGGCTCACCGTCTGGTGACTGTAGGATGGCCGGCTGTCTTCTCCCTCCTGCGCCCTCGGGGCTCACCGTCTGGTGACTGTAGGATGGCCGGCTGTCTCCTCCCTACTGAGCACCCTTGGGGCTCACCGTCTGGTGACTGTAGGATGGCCGGCTGTCTCCTCCCTCCTGAGCGCCTTCGGGGCTCACCGTCTGGTGACTGTAGGATGGCTGGCTGTCTTCTCCCTCCTGCGCGCCCTCGGGGCTCACCGTCTGATGACTGTAGGATGGCTGGCTGTCTTCTCCCTCCTGAGCGCTCTCGGGGCTCACCATCTGGTGACTGTAGGATGGCCGGCTGTCTCTTCCCTCCTGCGCGCCCTTGGGGCTCACCGTCTGATGACCGTTGGATAGCCGGCTGTCTCCTCCCTCCTGAGCGCGCTCGGGGCTCACCGTCTGGTGACTGTAGGATGGCCGGCTGTCTCCTCCCTCCTGAGCGCCCTCGGGGCTCACCGTCTGGTGACTGTAGGATGGCCGGCTGTCTCCTCCCTCCTGAGCGCCTTTGGGGCTCACCGTCTGATGACTGTAGGATGGCCGGCTGTCTTCTCCCTCCTGAGCGCCCTCGGGGCTCACCGTCTGATGACTGTAGGATGGCCGGCTGTCTTCTCCCTCCTGAGCTTCCTCGGGGCTCACCGTCTGGTGACTGTAGGATGGCCGGCTGTCTCCTCCCTCCTGAGCGCCCTCGGGGCTCACCGTCTGATGACTGTAGGATGGCCGGCTGTCTTCTCCCTCCTGCGAACCCTCGGGGCTCACCGTCTGGTGACTGTAGGATGGCCGGCTGTCTTCTCCCTCCTGCGAACCCTCGGGGCTCACCGTCTGGTGACTGTAGGATGGCCGGCTGTGTCCTCCCTCCTGCGCGCCCTTGGGGCTCACCGTCTGGTGACTGTAGGATGGCCGGCTGTCTTCCCCCTCCTGAGCGCCCTCGGGGCTCACTGTCTGGTGACTGTAGGATGGCCGGCTGTCTTCTCCCTCCTGAGCTTCCTCGGGGCTCACCCTCTGATGACTGTAGGATGGCCGGCTGTCTTCTCCCTCCTGCGCGCCCTCTGGGCTCACCGTCTGTTGACTGTAGGATGGCCGGCTGTCTTCTCCCTCCTGAGCACCCTCGGGGCTCACCGTCTGGTGACTGTAGGATGGCCGGCTGTCTTCTCACTCCTGGTTGCCCTCGGGGCTCACCGTCTGATGACTGTAGGATGGCCGGCTGTCTCCTCCCTCCTGCGCGCCCTTGGGGCTCACCGTCTGGTGACTGTAGGATGGCCGGCTGTCTTCCCCCTCCTGAGCGCCCTCGGTGCTCACCGTCTGGTGACTGTAGGATGGCCGGCTGTCTTCTCCCTCCTGAGCACCCTCGGGGCTCACCGTCTGGTGACTGTAGGATGGCCGGCTGTCTCCTCCCTCCTGCCCGCCCTCGGTTCTCACCGTCTGGTGACTGTAGGATGGCCGGCTGTCTTCCCCCTCCTGAGCGCCCTCGGGGCTCACCCTCTGGTGACTGTAGGACGGCCGGCTGTCTCCTCCCTCCTGAGCGCCCTCGGGGCTCACCCTCTGGTGACCGTAGGATGGCCGGCTGTCTCCTCCCTCCTGAGCGCCCTCGGGGCTCACCGTCTGGTGACTGTAGGACGGCCGGCTGTCTCCTCCCTCCTGAGCGCCCTCGGGGCTCACCGTCTGGTGACTATAGGATGGCCGGCTGTCTCCTCCCTCCTGAGCGCCCTCGGGGCTCACCGTCTGGTGACTGTAGGATGGCCGGCTGTCTTCTTCCACCTGAGCGCCCTCGGGGCTCACCGTCTGATGACTGTAGGATGGCCGGCTGTCTCCTCCCTCCTGAGCGCCCTCGGGGCTCACCCTCTGATGACTGTAGGATGGCCGGCTGTCTTCTCCCTCCTGAGCGCCCTCGGAGCTCACCGTCTGATGACTGTAGGATGGCCGGCTGTCTCCTCCCTCCTGCACGCCCTCGGGGCTCACCCTCTGGTGACTGTAGGATGGCCGGCTGTCTCCTCCCTCCTGCACGCCCTCGGGGCTCACCGTCTGGTGACTGTAGGATGGCTGGCTGTCTCCTCCCTCCTGCGCGCCCTTGGGGCTCACCGTCTGGTGACTGTAGGATGGCCGGCTCTCTCCTCCCTCCTGAGTGCCCTCGGGGCTCACCGTCTGGTGACTGTAGGATGGCCGGCTGTCTTCTCCCTCCTGAGCGCCCTCGGGGCTCACCGTCTGGTGACTGTAGGATGGCCGGCTGTCTTCTTCCACCTGAGCGCCCTCGGGGCTCACCGTCTGATGACTGTAGGATGGCCGGCTGTCTCCTCCCTCCTGAGCGCCCTCGGGGCTCACCCTCTGATGACTGTAGGATGGCCGGCTGTCTTCTCCCTCCTGAGCGCCCTCGGAGCTCACCGTCTGATGACTGTAGGATGGCCGGCTGTCTCCTCCCTCCTGCACGCCCTCGGGGCTCACCCTCTGGTGACTGTAGGATGGCTGGCTCTCTCCTCCCTCCTGAGCGCCCTCGGGGCTCACCCTCTGGTGACTGTAGCATGGCCGGCTGTCTCCTCCGTCCTGAGCGCCCTCGGGGCTCACCGTCTGGTGACTGTAGGATGGCCGGCTCTCTTCTCCCTCCTGAGCGCTCTCGGGGCTCACCATCTGGTGACTGTAGGATGGCCGGCTGTCTTCTCCCTCCTGAGCACCCTCGGGGCTCACCGTCTGGTGACTGTAGGATGGCCGGCTCTCTCCTCCCTCCTGAGTGCCCTCGGGGCTCACCGTCTGGTGACTGTAGGATGGCCGGCTCTCTTCTCCCTCCTGAGCGCTCTCGGGGCTCACCCTCTGGTGACTGTAGGATGGCCGGCTCTCTTCTCCCTCCTGAGCGCTCTCGGGGCTCACCATCTGGTGACTGTAGGATGGCCGGCTGTCTCCTCCCTCCTGCACGCCCTCGGGGCTCACCCTCTGGTGACTGTAGGATGGCTGGCTGTCTCCTCCCTCCTGCGCGCCCTTGGGGCTCACCGTCTGGTGACTGTAGGATGGCCGGCTCTCTCCTCCCTCCTGAGTGCCCTCGGGGCTCACCGTCTGGTGACTGTAGGATGGCCGGCTGTCTTCTCCCTCCTGAGCGCCCTCGGGGCTCACCGTCTGGTGACTGTAGGATGGCCGGCTGTCTCCTCCCTCCTGCACGCCCTCGGGGCTCACCCTCTGGTGACTGTAGGATGGCTGGCTGTCTCCTCCCTCCTGCGCGCCCTTGGGGCTCACCGTCTGGTGACTGTAGGATGGCCGGCTCTCTCCTCCCTCCTGAGCGCCCTTGGGGCTCACCGTCTGGTGACTGTAGGATGGCCGGCTGTCTCCTCCCTCCTGCGCGCCCTTGGGGCTCACCGTCTGGTGACTGTAGGATGGCCGGCTGTCTTCTCCCTCCTGAGCGCCCTCGGGGCTCACCGTCTGATGACTGTAGGATGGCCGGCTGTCTTCTCCCTCCTGAGCTTCCTCGGGGCTCACCGTCTGGTGACTGTAGGATGGCCGGCTGTCTTCTCCCTCCTGCGCCCTCGGGGCTCACCGTCTGGTGACTGTAGGATGGCCGGCTGTCTCCTCCCTACTGAGCACCCTTGGGGCTCACCGTCTGGTGACTGTAGGATGGCCGGCTGTCTCCTCCCTCCTGAGCGCCTTCGGGGCTCACCCTCTGGTGACTGTAGGATGGCCGGCTGTCTCCTCGCTCCTGAGTGTCCTCGGGGCTCACTGTCTGGTGACTGTAGGATGGCCGGCTGTCTCCTCCCTCCTGAGCACCCTCGGGGCTCACCCTCTGTTGACTGTAGGATGGCCGGCTGTCTTCTCCCTCCTGCGCGCCCTCGGGGCTCACCGTCTGATGACTGTAGGATGGCCGGCTGTCTTCTCCCTCCTGCGCGCCCTCGGGGCTCACCGTCTGGTGACTGTAGGATGGCCGGCTGTCTTCTCCCTCCTGAGCACCCTCGGGGCTCACCCTCTGGTGACTGTAGGATGGCCGGCTGTCTCCTCCCTCCTGAGCGCCCTCGGGGCTCACCGTCTGATGACTGTAGGATGGCCGGCTGTCTTCTCCCTCCTGAGCGCCCTCGGGGCTCACCGTCTGATGACTGTAGGATGGCCGGCTGTCTTCTCCCTCCTGAGCTTCCTCGGGGCTCACCGTCTGGTGACTGTAGGATGGCCGGCTGTCTTCTCCCTCCTGCGCCCTCGGGGCTCACCGTCTGGTGACTGTAGGATGGCCGGCTGTCTCCTCCCTACTGAGCACCCTTGGGGCTCACCGTCTGGTGACTGTAGGATGGCCGGCTGTCTCCTCCCTCCTGAGCGCCTTCGGGGCTCACCGTCTGGTGACTGTAGGATGGCTGGCTGTCTTCTCCCTCCTGCGCGCCCTCGGGGCTCACCGTCTGATGACTGTAGGATGGCTGGCTGTCTTCTCCCTCCTGAGCGCTCTCGGGGCTCACCATCTGGTGACTGTAGGATGGCCGGCTGTCTCTTCCCTCCTGCGCGCCCTTGGGGCTCACCGTCTGATGACCGTTGGATAGCCGGCTGTCTCCTCCCTCCTGAGCGCGCTCGGGGCTCACCGTCTGGTGACTGTAGGATGGCCGGCTGTCTCCTCCCTCCTGAGCGCCCTCGGGGCTCACCGTCTGGTGACTGTAGGATGGCCGGCTGTCTCCTCCCTCCTGAGCGCCTTTGGGGCTCACCGTCTGATGACTGTAGGATGGCCGGCTGTCTTCTCCCTCCTGAGCGCCCTCGGGGCTCACCGTCTGATGACTGTAGGATGGCCGGCTGTCTTCTCCCTCCTGAGCTTCCTCGGGGCTCACCGTCTGGTGACTGTAGGATGGCCGGCTGTCTCCTCCCTCCTGAGCGCCCTCGGGGCTCACCGTCTGATGACTGTAGGATGGCCGGCTGTCTTCTCCCTCCTGCGAACCCTCGGGGCTCACCGTCTGGTGACTGTAGGATGGCCGGCTGTCTTCTCCCTCCTGCGAACCCTCGGGGCTCACCGTCTGGTGACTGTAGGATGGCCGGCTGTGTCCTCCCTCCTGCGCGCCCTTGGGGCTCACCGTCTGGTGACTGTAGGATGGCCGGCTGTCTTCCCCCTCCTGAGCGCCCTCGGGGCTCACTGTCTGGTGACTGTAGGATGGCCGGCTGTCTTCTCCCTCCTGAGCTTCCTCGGGGCTCACCCTCTGATGACTGTAGGATGGCCGGCTGTCTTCTCCCTCCTGCGCGCCCTCTGGGCTCACCGTCTGTTGACTGTAGGATGGCCGGCTGTCTTCTCCCTCCTGAGCACCCTCGGGGCTCACCGTCTGGTGACTGTAGGATGGCCGGCTGTCTTCTCACTCCTGGTTGCCCTCGGGGCTCACCGTCTGATGACTGTAGGATGGCCGGCTGTCTCCTCCCTCCTGCGCGCCCTTGGGGCTCACCGTCTGGTGACTGTAGGATGGCCGGCTGTCTTCCCCCTCCTGAGCGCCCTCGGTGCTCACCGTCTGGTGACTGTAGGATGGCCGGCTGTCTTCTCCCTCCTGAGCACCCTCGGGGCTCACCGTCTGGTGACTGTAGGATGGCCGGCTGTCTCCTCCCTCCTGCCCGCCCTCGGTTCTCACCGTCTGGTGACTGTAGGATGGCCGGCTGTCTTCCCCCTCCTGAGCGCCCTCGGGGCTCACCCTCTGGTGACTGTAGGACGGCCGGCTGTCTCCTCCCTCCTGAGCGCCCTCGGGGCTCACCCTCTGGTGACCGTAGGATGGCCGGCTGTCTCCTCCCTCCTGAGCGCCCTCGGGGCTCACCGTCTGGTGACTGTAGGACGGCCGGCTGTCTCCTCCCTCCTGAGCGCCCTCGGGGCTCACCGTCTGGTGACTATAGGATGGCCGGCTGTCTCCTCCCTCCTGAGCGCCCTCGGGGCTCACCGTCTGGTGACTGTAGGATGGCCGGCTGTCTTCTTCCACCTGAGCGCCCTCGGGGCTCACCGTCTGATGACTGTAGGATGGCCGGCTGTCTCCTCCCTCCTGAGCGCCCTCGGGGCTCACCCTCTGATGACTGTAGGATGGCCGGCTGTCTTCTCCCTCCTGAGCGCCCTCGGAGCTCACCGTCTGATGACTGTAGGATGGCCGGCTGTCTCCTCCCTCCTGCACGCCCTCGGGGCTCACCCTCTGGTGACTGTAGGATGGCCGGCTGTCTCCTCCCTCCTGCACGCCCTCGGGGCTCACCGTCTGGTGACTGTAGGATGGCTGGCTGTCTCCTCCCTCCTGCGCGCCCTTGGGGCTCACCGTCTGGTGACTGTAGGATGGCCGGCTCTCTCCTCCCTCCTGAGTGCCCTCGGGGCTCACCGTCTGGTGACTGTAGGATGGCCGGCTGTCTTCTCCCTCCTGAGCGCCCTCGGGGCTCACCGTCTGGTGACTGTAGGATGGCCGGCTGTCTTCTTCCACCTGAGCGCCCTCGGGGCTCACCGTCTGATGACTGTAGGATGGCCGGCTGTCTCCTCCCTCCTGAGCGCCCTCGGGGCTCACCCTCTGATGACTGTAGGATGGCCGGCTGTCTTCTCCCTCCTGAGCGCCCTCGGAGCTCACCGTCTGATGACTGTAGGATGGCCGGCTGTCTCCTCCCTCCTGCACGCCCTCGGGGCTCACCCTCTGGTGACTGTAGGATGGCTGGCTCTCTCCTCCCTCCTGAGCGCCCTCGGGGCTCACCCTCTGGTGACTGTAGCATGGCCGGCTGTCTCCTCCGTCCTGAGCGCCCTCGGGGCTCACCGTCTGGTGACTGTAGGATGGCCGGCTGTCTTCTCCCTCCTGAGCTTCCTCGGGGCTCACCATCTGGTGACTGTAGGATGGCCGGCTGTCTTCTCCCTCCTGAGCACCCTCGGGGCTCACCGTCTGGTGACTGTAGGATGGCCGGCTCTCTCCTCCCTCCTGAGTGCCCTCGGGGCTCACCGTCTGGTGACTGTAGGATGGCCGGCTCTCTTCTCCCTCCTGAGCGCTCTCGGGGCTCACCATCTGGTGACTGTAGGATGGCCGGCTGTCTCCTCCCTCCTGCACGCCCTCGGGGCTCACCCTCTGGTGACTGTAGGATGGCTGGCTGTCTCCTCCCTCCTGCGCGCCCTTGGGGCTCACCGTCTGGTGACTGTAGGATGGCCGGCTCTCTCCTCCCTCCTGAGTGCCCTCGGGGCTCACCGTCTGGTGACTGTAGGATGGCCGGCTGTCTTCTCCCTCCTGAGCGCCCTCGGGGCTCACCGTCTGGTGACTGTAGGATGGCCGGCTGTCTCCTCCCTCCTGCACGCCCTCGGGGCTCACCCTCTGGTGACTGTAGGATGGCTGGCTGTCTCCTCCCTCCTGCGCGCCCTTGGGGCTCACCGTCTGGTGACTGTAGGATGGCCGGCTCTCTCCTCCCTCCTGAGCGCCCTTGGGGCTCACCGTCTGGTGACTGTAGGATGGCCGGCTGTCTCCTCCCTCCTGCGCGCCCTTGGGGCTCACCGTCTGGTGACTGTAGGATGGCCGGCTCTCTCCTCCCTCCTGAGCGCCCTTGGGGCTCACCCTCTGGTGACTGTAGGATGGCTGGCTGTCTTTTCCCTCCTGAGCACCCTCGGGGCTCACCCTCTGTTGACTGTAGGATGGCCGGCTGTCTCCTCCCTCCTGCGCGCCCTCGGGGCTCACCGTCTGGTGACTGTAGGATGGCCGGCTGTCTCCTCCCTCCTGAGCACCCTCGGAGCTCACCGTCTGGTGACTGTAGGATGACCGGCTGTCTTCTCCCTCCTGCGCGCCCTCGGGGCTCACCCTGTGGTGACTCTAGGATGACCGGCTGTCTTCTCCCTCCTGAGCGCCCTCGGGGCTCACCGTCTGGTGACTGTAGGATGGCCGGCTGTCTCCTCCCTCCTGCGCGCCCTTGGGCTCACCCTCTGGTGACTGTAGGATGGCCGGCTGTCTTCTCCCTCCTGCGAACCCTCGGGGCTCACCGTCTGGTGACTGTAGGATGGCCGGCTGTCTTCCCCCTCCTGAGCCCCCTTGGGGCTCACCGTCTGGTGACTGTAGGATGGCCGGCTGTCTTCTCCCTCCTGCGCGCCCTCGGGGCTCACCGTCTGGTGACTGTAGGATGGCCGGCTGTCTCCTCCCTCCTGAGCACCCTCGGAGCTCACCGTCTGGTGACTGTAGGATGACCGGCTGTCTTCTCCCTCCTGCGCGCCCTCGGGGCTCACCCTGTGGTGACTCTAGGATGACCGGCTGTCTTCTCCCTCCTGAGCGCCCTCGGGGCTCACCCTCTGGTGACTGTAGCATGGCCGGCTGTCTCCTCCGTCCTGAGCGCCCTCGGGGCTCACCGTCTGGTGACTGTAGGATGGCCGGCTGTCTCCTCCCTCCTGAGCGCCCTCGGGGCTCACCGTCTGATGACTGTAGGATGGCCGGCTGTCTCCTCCCTCCTGAGCGCCCTCGGGGCTCACCGTCTGGTGACTGTAGGATGGCCGGCTGTCTTCTCCCTCCTGAGCGCCCTTGGGGCTCACCGTCTGGTGACTGTAGGATGGCCGGCTGTCTTCTCCCTCCTGAGCGCCCTCGGGGCTCACTGTCTGATGACTGTAGGATGGCCGGCTGTCTTCCCCCTCCTGAGTGCCCTCGGGGCTCACCGTCTGGTGACTGTAGGATGGCCGGCTGTCTTCTCCCTCCTGAGCGCCCTCGGAGCTCACCGTCTGATGACTGTAGGATGGCCGGCTGTCTCTTCCCTCCTGAGCGCCCTCGGGGCTCACTGTCTGGTGACTGTAGGATGGCCGGCTGTCTCCTCCCTCCTGCGCGCCCTCGGGGCTCACCCTCTGGTGACTGTAGGATGGCCGGCTGTCTCTTCCCTCCTGAGCGCCCTTGGGGCTCACCGTCTGATGACTGTAGGATGGCCGGCTGTCTTCTCCCTCCTGCGAACCCTCGGGGCTCACCGTCTGGTGACTGTAGGATGGCCGGCTGTCTCCTCCCTCCTGAGCGCCCTCGGGGCTCACCGTCTGGTGACTGTAGGATGGCCGGCTGTCTTCTCCCTCCTGAGCGCCTTCGGGGCTCACCCTCTGGTGACTGTAGGATGGCCGGCTGTCTCCTCGCTCCTGAGCGCCCTCGGGGCTCACCGTCTGGTGACTGTAGGATGGCCGGCTGTCTCCTCCCTCCTGCGCGCCCTTGGGCTCACCCTCTGGTGACTGTAGGATGGCCGGCTGTCTCCTCCCTCCTGAGCGGCCTCGGGGCTCACCCTCTGGTGACTGTAGGATGGCCGGCTGTCTCCTCGCTCCTGAGCGCCCTCGGGGCTCACCGTCTGATGACTGTAGGATGGCCGGCTGTCTCCTCCCTCCTGCGCGCCCTCGGGGCTCACCGTCTGGTGACCGTAGGATGGCCGGCTGTCTCCTCCCTCCTGAGTGCCCTCGGGGCTCACCGTCTGGTGACTGTAGGATGGCCGGCTGTCTCCTCCCTCCTGAGCGCCCTCGGGGCTCACCGTCTGATGACTGTAGGATGGCCGG